ACTCAGGGAACATCAGCCTCAGTCTTAGTGTGCCCCCACTCCACTCTGCCCCCAAATACAAGGGCAACAGAAAAGTCTAGGGACTTCTTTTCTGTCCTTCGGACCTGCAACGGGCTGTGCTTAGCCCCCAGACAGAGGGTCTGAGGCCTGGGTTTTAGTTCCAGCTACTGCTAGAAAGTGCCATTCGGTCTTGAACTAATTGCTTCTCTTTTCTGAGCCTCAGTTCCTTGTAGGTTAAAAAGCAATGAAAGCAGCCAGCTGTAAGTGGTTCTATGGATGGGCTGGAATCATGAGGTCCAAACTCACTGCCATGGCTATGTGGGCTCATAGCCACTCCCTGTGGGTGTCCCTGCTCCCCGGAGTAGAATGCCAGCCTTTCTCTCACACCATTGCTGGAGTCTTCAAACTGCTGACCATGCAGCTCCCAGCGATTCACCCTGGGAGGCATTTTGTCAGCTCCCGCAAGGTGCCACAAGCACCTGTTTGGAACAGGTAACTTAGGACACCCAAACCTTTGGTGAAGTCCTTTCCAGCTGATGGATGGGGTAGATCCATCATTTGGAGGTTGTAGTGGATTACATATTGGACTGCAGATGGAAAGGGCAGCAGTGTGGAAACACTAGTCACTTCATGGGAGATCGATGACGCTTTCTACTCCCATAAAGAAACCCGGAAACTCACAGGAGCAGTTCTACCCTGTCCCCCAAGGTCACTGTGAGCCGGCATCGACTTGATGACCGGGAGTTTGATGGAACGTAGATTTCCTCGAAGTGCTGACCAAACCTGCTGCCCTCAGTGGATTCTTACTCTAGCGACCCTATATAGGGTTTCTTGGATCTTAAATCTTTTTTTTTAAAGATCTCCATAATTTATCTATTTTTAATTTTAATTTTTAAAATCATTTTATTGGGGGTGGGGGGGCTCTTACAAATCTTGTAACAATCCATATTCAATAGTGTTAAGCACACTTGTACATGTTTCCATCAACATTTCAAAAATAATTTTTTTCTACTTGGTATCGAGATCTTAAATCTTTCAGGGAACAGACAGCCTCATCTTTTTCCCGAGGAGTAGCTGGTGGATTTGAAGCACTGACCTTAAAGTCAGCAGCACAATGCCTAGCCGACAGTGCCACCAGGATCCTTCCAAAGAGCTGACAGGCAGGCCTATTTAAGGAAATACTATTGCTTAAGTTCAGCTTGACTTAGGGGCCTTCTAGTGCAGCGGTTCTCAACCTGTGGCTCTTGACCCCTTTGGGGGCCAAAGGACCCTTTCACAGGGGTTGCCTGAGACCATCGGAAAACATAACTGTAACAAATGACAGTTATGAAGTACCAGCACAAATAATTTTATGGTTGGGGGGGGTCACCACAACATGCAGAACTGTATTAAAGGGTGATGGCATTAGGAAGGTTGAGTAACCACTGTTCTAGTGCATTTCTCAAGAGTGCCATTCATGCCTGCCAGTGTGGAAAGTGCAATGGCCAAAGGTGCCAACCAAAGGAGGCTCTCACTCCCAGTGGGAATGGCAAGGACAGCCATTCTTTCTGAACCAGTTTCTTCACCTGTTAAATGAAGGCTCTCAGTGAGCTGGACTCACTCCAAGCACGCTTCCAGCTCTGAATTTCTGCAAACCTACTTCCCAGGCGCTACACTAATGGAAGCTACCGCTGGCCTAGGGTTTCCCCCGCTTTCCTTCCCTGCTGTTGACAAAGAAACCGGAGGGGCTTTGGGATCTTAGGTTGCATCACCAAACCCAAGCCCACGGCCATCCAGTCAACTGGAACGCAAAATGACTTGATACAGGGTTCCCGAGACTATACCTCTTTATCGGAACAAACAACTTCATCTTTCTCCCGAGGAGCAACCGGTGGCTTGGACCCCCCAGCCTCGTACTGAGTAGCCGACGAGCCTAGGTTGCATAACAACCCTGCTGAAGTCTTTACCATTGGCCGAGGTCGCCCTCAGCACTGCGAGGGGGGCTTGCTGTTCACAAAGCAGCTTTTCTTGTTGTAAATAAACTATAAATAGGAAAGGATGGTGGAGGAAAGAATGGGGAATTCTGAGGTAAATGGTGGCATGTTTGGCTTTTGAGCTAATTTAGAGAAAACAGGAAAAAAAACAGGGACAGACACAAACCCAAAGGCATACAAAGTATAAACATTGATTTTATCAACAGGTGTCCACCAGCACAGCTAAAAATAGGTGCGTCTCAGCACACCCAGAAAGCCCTCCACATGTGCCTCTCCTCCAGCCAGATCTTGATCTACAGACACAGGCAAATTCCAGTTATACAGCCTGGAGGCAAATGCTGACCTTCAGATACTGGGGCCAACAGATGCCAGGTCCAGTGTCCACACAGCCCACAGAGGTGTGCTGGCTAGGCAAAGCAGATTCACAGTGCAAAGGCAAATTGTAGTCACACACAGATGTGCACCCACTGCTACTGAGTGGTTTCTGATTCACAGTGACCCATAGGACAGAGTAGAACTGCCCCTCTGGGTTTCTGAGCCTTTACATCTTTACTGGAGCAGTCTCACCTAGCTCCCTTGGAGTGGCTTGTGGGTTTGAACCACTGAACTTGCTGTTAGCAGCCCAACGCTTAACCCACAGCACCACCAGGCCTCCTTATCTGGCTAGCAGATGACTGCTTATTTGCTTTCTGCTGACTATCTCCCTACCCTCTGCCTTACAAGGGAAAGGAAAGGTTTTCAGCCTACCCAGGGGGTTAATGAAGCCACCGTTGTCTCTGCAGCACAGGGCCCAGGCCTCCGCTTTCCCTCTCTTCCACAGGCCTATCTGGACTGAGCAGGGCCAAGGCCAGCAAGTGGAGACTGGGCAGAAGTACTTAGACAAGCAGCTCCCCATCCCCCAGCAGGAAATGTCTTAGACAGGAAATTAGTTCTGCCCTAGCCCAGCAAGCCACGTCTGTCGGGAAAATATGGATGGAGACACCTACCGTCTCCAGAGCTGTGTTCTTTTATTTGTGGGCCGCTCGGTCTTAGTTTGTGTTAGAGATGATGGTGTGATTCCAACTGACCAGATTTCTTAAAATGGGTGAACATCTGGACGTTTGGCTCAGATCCTAACTTGTTGGCCTTGAGCGAGTTATTTTCCCTCG